TGTTTTATACATACTGTTATAGAAAGCTAATGTTCGTTGAGTAAACCGTAGGAATAATCCACTTTCAGAAGTCCCTTTTGGGCTAGAGCAATGTCTCTGCAGTTAAAAGCACTTACTGCTTTTGAAGAGGACCCAGGTTCGGGTCCTAGCACTCACATGATAGCTTATAGCCATGTGTAACTTAGGTTCCGGGGAATCTGGCACTCCCTTCTGACCTCCATTGGCTCCTGCACAAGTGTGGTGCACATGCATACACTCAAACACACACACATTTACACATCTTTCTCAGTCATGTGTCTATCTTTTGTATATAAATATTCATTTTACTGGAAGTACTGTTTCTTTTTATTATTTTAAAGATTTATTTATTGTGTATACAGTGTTCTGCCTGCATGTATGCCTGCATGCCAGAAGAGAGCACCAGATCACATTATAGATAGTTGTGAGCCACCATGTGGGTTCTGGGAATTGAACTCTGGACCTCTGAGAGAGTGGCCAGTGCTCTTAACTGTTGTTGTTGTTGTTGTTGTTGTTGTTGTTGTTGTTTTACTCTTTATTCTTTGGCTCTTTTGGGGGCCCCCCACCCAGCTCTCAAATCAATACACATGGAGGCTTATTCTTTCTTAGGAATGCCTGGCTTTAGCTTGCCTTGTTTCTAGCTAGCTTTACTTAAATTATCCCATCTAGCTTTTGCCTCTGGGCTTTTACCTTTCTCTATTTTTGTATACCTTTCTAATTACTCTGTGGCTTGCTGTGTAGCTGCGCCGCTGGCCCCTGATGTCCTCCTTTTTTTTTCTCTTGTTCCTAGATCTTTTCTTCCCAGATTTCTCTTACTATTTGTTCTCTCTGCCAGCCCTCCTAACCTTTTTCCTGCCTTGCTATTGGCCATTCAGCTCTTTATTAGACCAATCAGGTGTTTAGACAGGCATAGCATCACAGCTTCAGAGTTAAACAAATACAACATAAAATAATGCAACACATTTTTGCATCATCAAACAAATGTTCCACAGCATAAACAAATGTAACACATCTTAAAATAATATTCTACAATACTTACCTGTTGAGTCATCTCTCCAGCCCCAGAAGTGCTGTTTCTTTTCTGTCAAGCATGACCAGACTTTTTTTCTGAGAGAGAGAATTTTTGAGATCCTCCTGCCTCTGCCTTTGCCTCTGCCTCCGCCTCCCGAGTGCTAGAATCAAAAGGCATGCACCACCACCAACTGGCTTACAGCACTTGTTTTTAAATAGAACCTAAAAATTCAGTTTTCTGAGTGAAATTTGTGCTCTTCTAAATATTCACTATTTAGAACTTTGAACCATAGCATGGAGCAGCAGAAGTTTTTTAAATTCACAAGATTACATACTGTCACTGTGCTTTTGGCCCTAAGATCTGTCTCCATGATGGTTTTTAAAACTGTACTTTAGGGGCTGTGTGTGTGTGTGTGTGTGTGTGTGTGTGTGTGTGCGTGCGTGTGTGCGCGCGCGCGCGCGTACACATGTATATATTAACAGCACAGATTTGGAGGTCAGAGTACAACTTTGTCGGGTCAGTTTTCTCATTCTACTTTTATGGGTTTTGAAGATTTTAATCAAGTTAGTCTTGTATAAAAAGCACCTGGCTTTTCTGCTAGTGAGGGGGTGGAGCGGCCCTGGGACTTCATGATCATTCTATTATGTTGTAGATTATGCAGGTATTTTATGGCCACAGAAATCTCCAAGCATGATAATCACCTTGATACTCCGATTTGTATTAGGAAATTGTTTTTATTAATCTTGATTTTGCTACCTACGAGGATCATCAAGCATGTTTCTTGCTTTATTTCTATTTTTTCCACACACACATAACTTTAAATCTAAATTCCCCATAAGAAGAAATGTGCAGTATTTGAGTCTATCTCATATTTTTAAAGATTTTATTTGTTTATTATATACTATAGTGTTCTGTCTGCATGCCAGAAGAGGGCACCAGATCTCATTACAGATTATTGTGAGCCACCATGTGGTTGCTGGGAATTGAACTCAGAACCTCTGGAAGAGAGGAAGAGAAGCTAGTGCTCTTAACTGCTGAGTCATCTCTCCAGCCCTAGCATACTTCTTTCAACATTATGATAACGATTTACATCATTTTCCCTATATTCTTGATTTCACTTTTCTTTATGGCTGTGTAAAATTCCATTGTGTTGCCAGGTGATGTGGCGTACAGCTTAATCCCAGCACTCAGGAGTCAGAGGCAGGTGGTGAATTCTTCCACCACACTGGCTGGTGCTTAAGAATTATTGTGGAATATGCTCATTTTTTTTTTCAAGGTCTAATTAGTCACCAAGCCCCATGCATTTTGCTTTTGTAGTGTCTCTTGTTGCCTTCATTGAGTTCTTGTTTTTGTTCATCAGTAACATTGTAACATCCTTTGACAACTTTTCTCAGCCTGCTGCCAGTGACTTATATTTTAAGTGATCCCCAGTAGTGACCACAACAGTTTGCTTAAAACCCTTTAGTGAGTTCTCACTGTGTCAGCGCTGGAACATTGAACTTTTATTGTTGTGGATTTGGTCCCTGCTTTCTTGCTTTATTTACTCCATAGATCTGTAGATGGTGCCCACATGTCCCTTGCTCTCTGGCACATGTTTATTTCACACACCATCGTTCTGTTGTTAGTGCTTTTAGAAACCAGCTTAAAGGTGATGCTCAGTTCACTCTTGTCATTAAGGACAAGGTTAGATGCCTTTGTGTGCCTTCACCCCACCCCATCTCAAGATGGTCTCCAGTATTTTTCATAGGTTATTGTAGTTCTATTTTCTGCCAAGTTTCTTGAAGGCAGAGACCATGTATCTTGAATAATTCTACCTGCGTTTTAAAATAATGTCTGGGAAACAGTGAGTTGTCATGTATTTGCAGAATGAATAAATCATTTTTTCGGTAGAGACTGTTGAGACAAAAATTATACAGGGACCTAAATTCTAGGTTTAAAGCCTTTTAATGTGTTCTGTTTCTCTTATTTTATTTGTTTGAAGAAGGTTATAGGTGCTTCTATAAGCATAAATTGAAATTTATGTGTTTTTTAGAATCACATAAACCATGTTGATAAGCTGATATACTAATTATTATTGCCTTCTAGAGATACAGTTTCTGAGGGGATGGGGAAGGACAAAGTGTGTCTTCGTGTAAGATTCATATGTGTGTCCATACGTGCAGAGGCCAGAAGCTGATAGTGTCTTCCTCTATCACAAACGTTAATTTTTGAGACTAGTTTTTGCTGAACCTGGTGCTCACCAGTAAGACTAGACTGGCTGATCCTCCTGTCTCTAGCTCAGGGATTCCAGGTGCCTGGCTTCTTTTTGACCTAGATTCTAGCCGTCAAGCTGAGGACATGGTGCTGGCATAACGATCACTTTACCAACTGAGCCGTCTCAGCTTGCTTCCTTCCTCCCTTCCTGCTCGCTCTTCTCTTTAAATGCCAGGTTTTCTTGATCTGTCCTTACCATCCTCCCTTCTCTCTTTCCCTCCATTTCCACCTCTTTTCTTCTCAGGTTTGTAGCAGCTTTCTCTGCTTCCATTCTCCTTAATGTTCTGGACCCAGGTAATTTGTTGTTCAGAAGATTGTCACATGCATTAGATAGATGTTAGCAGCATCCTTGACCTCTCAGTATGTATCAGGAGCATTCCCAAGTTTTGACAAATTGGGACATTGACAAAAATGTCTCCTGAAATTAGTCAAGTGTTTCTGTGGGGCAGTCATTTATGGTTGAGTATTAGCTTCTTTTTTCTCTATATATACCCCCGTCTCTGTGTGTGTGTGTGTGTGTGTGTGTGTGTGTGTGTGTGTGTGTGTGTGGTGGTGTTTGTTGTTTCCCTGTGTGCAGGTGAATTCTCCTGTGCATATACATAGAGGCTGGAGGAGGACATTAGGTGTGCGATTTGCTCTATTACTCTTAGCCTACTCCCTTGAGACAGTGTCTGCCATTGAACCTAGAGCTCACTGCTGTGCTCAGACTGTCTAGCTAGCAAGCTTCAGTGAGCCTCCAACCCCACTCCCCCGCCCCCCGCACTGGAGTTAGAGTTGCATGTTGTCCTACCTAGCTTTGTATCTATGGGTACTAGTGACCTGAACTCACCTTCTTCTGCTCATACCACAAGGGCTTTTCCCATTGAGCCTTTCCCCAGCGTAAATGGGGCAGATGATGGCACAGTTTTTCCTCAGTTTTCACTGCTATTTTCTGCTGAGGTTTTCTTCTCTCCTGCTTCTCTTCTAGCTCTTCTAAAATGAGTAACATCTACTTCCTGATTTCCTTCTTCCTTTGTTGCTTTACCAGATAGAACAATGAAAAAATGTTTTCATCAAGTGTGCTGTCATTTTCTTGTCCCCCATGTTTCCAGAATTGAAAGGTGGCTACTACCTACCTCATCTTCCATCTCATGCTGTTTGAACTCTCCCTCTTCCCTTCTTCGCCTTACTCTCTTAGTGCGGCCCCTCAGAAACTCCTGTTTGGCCCATTCCTGGTTAGTTCCGGATGCCAGCTCTGTTCTCACAGCTATGATGAGTGAAAGCCACCAGCATTTTTAATATTGGAATCAAATCAAGCCATGCTCTACTTTATTTTGTATATCGTAGCTTTCTAGAACAAGCTTTCTTCCCATTCATAGCTTCTCAGTTATGATTTCTAGGGTTCCTAAGCATTTTGAAAGACTTACCAAGTGGTTTTTAAAACTCTGCTCTCAGCTGCTTCATTCTCCTGTTTAGAAACCTTTTGTTGCTTTTACAAACGCCTTCGACGCTTAGCTTTTTTGGTTGTTTGTTTAATTAACAAAAATACTTGCTAAGTGAAAAGCGACTTAGGTTCTTTTAGGTAAATATTTTATGAAAAGTTAGTGTTAGCTTATTTTAGTACAGTTTTTAAACACTAATTAAATTTATTATTAGAGGAGGTATCAAGGCGAAATCTTGTCTGACCCATTTGACTGCTAAATTGTAAAATATTTAAATAAAATTTCTTTGGTTGCAGGTATTTATAACAACAATGATGTAGCTGTATCCTTTCCAAACGTGGTGTCTGGCTCCGGATCTAGTACTCCTGTCTCTAGCTCTCACATACCTCAACAGTCATCTGGGCATTTGCAACAGGTGGGAGCCCTCTCCCCCTCAGCCACGTCATCTGTAACCCCTGCCGCCACTACAACTCAGGTACGTTATAGTTCAGAGCCAGCCCTAGCAAGCAATGGGAGCCATTGTCTCCAACAAAAATCAGAAAATGTAGAAAAAAAATATCAGTCAATTTGGCGCTTTTGTGGGCTTTTTTTTTTTTTTTAAAGAACATTTAAAGCTGCACAAATAGTATTTGAAAACCTTTTGCTTAAATTATTTTAATTAACCTTGCAGAGAATATTGAAGAATAAATGCATCCAGGCTGAAGAGATGGCTCAATGGTTAAGAGTGTGTGCTGCTCTTGTAGGGAATCAGAGTTAAATTGCCAGGACCCGCACCTGGTGGCTCAATGTCACCTGTAACTCTAGCTCCAGGGGATCTAACTCTTCTTGCCTCCATCGGTACCTACACTCATGTGCACACACCCATCAACATACATATAATTAAAAATAAAAAAAAAATCTTAAAAAATCCTCAAATGTGGAGGCAGAGCCAGGAGGATGTGAGTTCGAGGCCAGCCTGGTCTACAGAGCGAGATCCAGTACAGGCACCAAAACTACACAGAGAAACCCTGTCTCAGAAAACAAAAATCCTCAAATGTAAGGTAACCCACCCAATACATTATTTAAAATATATATATGGTCTCTTCATATACATCAAGGTTTTTTTTTTTTCCCTAGTGGGAGATCAGTGTTCACAAATACATGTTTTCCCATTTGTCTCTCTTTTCTGCCACATTCAAGATTTGTAGCTTAATATGCAGCTTACTCTGTGGGATTTTTATTTTTTTTTCAGTCTTTAAATCTAAGGCTTCCATAAACCAGGCAACTGCCTGCACTCCCACTGAACTGTGTCTTACCCAGTCTTCTACCTTTCTGCCTTTCCTTCCTTCCTTCCTTCCTTCCTTCCTTCCTTCCTTCCGTCCGTCCGTCCTTCCTTCCTTCCTCCCTCCCTCCCTCCCTCCCTCCCTCCCTCCCTCCCTCCCTCCTTCCCTCCCTCCTCCCTCCCTCCCTCCCTCCGTATCTATTAATCACTGTGTGTGTAGAGCCTTTGCCTAGCCTGCGGGAGGCCTGGGGTTTGGTTCTCCACACAAGTTTAAAAAACAAAAAAGGACAAAATAAACAAAAACTCCCACAAATTTGAACTTTTATATATGTGCATAGTTTATATTATATGAGACTTTAAAATACATGCATTTTTTTGGTATTTTGTACACCGTATTTTTATTTTTATTTTTTATTTATCTTTGGTTTTTTAAGATAGGGTTTCTCTAAGTTGTCCTTGCTATCCTGGAACTCGCTGTGTAGACCAGGCTGGCCTTGAACTCACAGAGATCTGCCTGCCTCTGCTTTCCAGTGCTGGAATTAAAGGTGTGCGCCACCACCGCCCGTCTGTACACTGTAGTTTTAGAATACAAGATTGGATTATTGTAATGTATGTGTTCATGATTGGTGTTGTGCAGTCATCGTTCTGATTAAGCCAAATATTAGAATGAACAGCAGTTCAGTCAGTGGTATGATTAGTTGTGCCATCTTTGGACATGAAAATTAATTATTTAGTGAATAAGGGTAGCTTGATTACTTTAGAAGGAGTTTCTTTAGCTTGTTGCTCTGAAAAAGTAAGGTGATAGAAATGATAGGGCTTGATTAGAGAGGGTGAGAGGATAGATGAAGGAATGACTAATAAAATGGTTTATCTCTTTTAATTAAATATAACCATGTCCTTGATAGCTTTATACTTTTGGATCAAGTATCACTTGAACATTTTCAGTTTGCATTTTCTTTTCTGTCTTTATAGAAGTCTGCTTTAATTATTCTGGTTAATTCCAGGCTGAAATAAGCAAAATCTCATTTCTTACTCATTATGTCAGTGGACTTGGCATTAGGGAGAGGTGCATGGGAGAAGTGGTAGGGAAGGGAAATTGGTAGTGCAAGGGACAAATTTCACTTGACACGTGACTCAAAGAACAAAGAAATCATAGTTGGAAATAACCCAGGATTCAGACCAATTACAGTCTTGACTTTTTATCCTATTTCCATGTTCCCATAAGATGGGTCTCATATATGATGGTCCAGTTAGATTCACATGCTGCATGCTGAGACAGCTGCATGTGTGTTTCTGTCTAGCAGTAAATGCATTCTGCCTTGAAGCTGAAGCGTATTTAGTCTGGCTTATCTGGTGCTGCTGTAGCAACCATCAGTCTCCAGGCAGCTGAGGCACGTTGACCTCTCAAGTTGCACTGAGTGCAGATCTACTCAGTTTAGCTGCCTGAGACAGTGAAGTAATGATGTTGAATGTGAAAACTGCTTCTAAGCAGTCTGTAAGGGAAAAGATAGAAAAATATTGTGATGGAATTAAGAGAACTTTTAAAATTGTTCACTGAATCTCTTCCTCTCTCTGCATGGCAATGTTCATTTCAGCTTAATCTTTACATAGGTCTTAGTTGGCTTTAAAACATCCGACCCATTGTATTTAGGTAGTTGCTTACTTCTTAGCATTTTAATTACACACAGTGTAAAACAAAGCAGTGTTAAAAGATAGGTAGTGGAAATTATCAGTATTTAAAATGTCATTCTAAATGTCTTGTCATGGTTGTTAAGAACCTAGCATGTGCAAAGGCCAGGGTTCACTCATTAGCATCACCAAAAAGAAAACGAGATAAAACACACAACACATACACACACTTTAGCAGGCAGATATTTTAAAATGTGTGTAGAGAATAGAAATCTAATTAATGTTTGGCCAACCTAATTTACATTTATTTTTTCCCTACATAATTTAATAAAATGAAAATTTTTAGTGGCTAGGTTGAAGCTACAAGTCCAGGGGTCATTCTTAATCTTTCTGACCCTCAGTGTAAGTAAAATCAGCAGAGTTATTTTTGGTGCTATATAAAGCGTCACTCAGGGAAGTGATCAAAAAAAAAATCAGGGCAGGCTAATAGAAATTAAAGACTAAGAATAGTTTGATTTGGGCTTTTAATCAGAAAAAGACATTTGTAAAATTGTGTGGAGGAAGAAGAAAACATAAAAAACTGCTTCATAACTTAATTTTATATTCTTAAGTGTTATATCTCAGCTCCTTGAAATTGTAGTTGTTTTTTGCATAATTGTTCTTTTACAAGTAATTGATATAAAAACTCATTACACAGTAGGCTGTCTAGAACATATCAGCAGTAGTAACTGTAGATCCTGACCGTTAATGGAAGGTGAAATGTTGTAATACTTAGTGATGTGTTCTTTCTAATTGGATCGTAAGTAAAGGATATAAATTAGTTATTTTAGGAGTACCTTTAACTTTTCATATTGCCTTTCAAATTCCACTATTTTCTCCCTAAAAGATAAGTGATAACATTGATTAAATACCCAATTAAGAAATGTATTTAGAATTGGTTATTCTGTCCAGTCTTGCTGTCCCATTGAGAGTGTTCAGTAATGCTTTAACTGCACTTTAATCCTCCGACTATGTTTTGGAAACTCAGTTGTGGAACATTTCAGCATTAGCCTAAGCAGTGGTTTTTGAATACATTAAGCTCTTAACAATTAGGGAGCAGTTTGGGGCATTGAGTAATGGGGAATGATGCAATTGAACCTGACAGCTTCGGCAGTCTGCCTGCTCATGGGACCAGAACGTTGTTCACACTGGGTTTCATTTCTCATCACATGCTGGGCATTAGTGCCTCACTGGTGGTAGCTGACTCAGAAATGGAGTTTGTTCTCAGAAAAGTACAAAGTTTGAATAATGGCAGAGAATAAATGAAACTTGATTCTGTCCTTGTCTAATGTTCATCCTTATTTCTTTTCTTTCAGAAAACCTTTCTGGTCAAACGTGTGCTTATATATATTATATATTATATATATATATTAAAACATTTTAATACTTAACATTGTATTTGTAATCTTGTAGTTTTGTTGTGTTTTGGTTTATTGAGACAGTCCTACCATATAGTCCTGGCTAGCTTAGAATTCCCATGTAGTCTAGAGTGGTCTGAAACATGTCTTGATACTCCTCTGCCTTGCCAGGGTTGAGATAACAGGTGTGGCCACTATGCTCAGAAGTATGGCTATATTGTTTTTGAATCTGCAGGTGAAATAATACTTACAGTGAAGCATTTATGCCAGCTAATGGTTCTTTGAAAACTACTTTTACTCGTGGATATTTGCCACAATTAGTATCAGTATGTAATTGATAATTTATCCTATCCAAGTTCATGGGAAACCAAAAACCGTAATGGTTTACAAACAGTATGTTCTTAAATGTTTTTTATTGTATGTTTATTTTGTGTGTGTGTGGGTGCGCACATGTGTAGCACGAATCATTAGAAGGTCTTATTAATAAAATCAAACCTGAGGCCAGTTATTGGGGTGAATGATGGAAGATCAGAGAATCAGAACAAGCCACAGCCACCTCACTTGCCAGTTCCTCAGCTGATCCTGTTTCCCCAGACTGGATGCCTCTCAGCTGAACTGTGCTGCTCAAAAGCCTAAAAGCTTAACCAGCTCTAGTTCCTGGTCCTCACGCCTTATATACCTTTCTGCTTCCTGCCATCACTTCCTGGGATTAAAGGCATGAGTCACCATGCCCAGCTGTTTCCAGTGTGGCTTTGAACTCACAGAGATCCAGGTGGATCTCTGCCTCCAGAAGGCTAGGATTAAAGGTGTGAGTGCCACCATTTTCTGGCCTCTATGTCTGTCTAGTGGCTGTTCTTTTCTCTAACCCCAGATAAATTTATTAGGGTGCACGATATATTGGGGAACACAATATCACCACACACATGGACAGTGTACATGTGTAGGTCAGACTAGAACTCGCCGAAGTCTGTTTTCTTTTTTCCTTCAGGTTGTCTCACTTGGCAGCAGGCACCTTTACATGCTGAAAACATCTTTTTGACTTCCACAAAAATAAAATACCAAATTAAACTATGTGATACTTACCTACCCAGTTCCAGACATTTTTATGAGCTCATTATGCATGTTAGCTACATTCTTAGGGTATTTTTGTAAGAGAGGCATTATACCATCATTCTCATAAATGAAAAG